AATTCAAGCAACTAAAGATATCAGACATCACCAGAAGCAACATTCATCATTAAGCAACAGAAGCAGAAAAAAAAAATTATAGCACTATCAGATATCAGATATCAGACATCAGCAAAAGCAGGAAGAAAAAAAAAATAGAAGCAACAGAAACAAAAGAGAGAAGAAGAACCAGAATCAGAAGCAGAAAAATAGAAGAGAACCAAAAGAATAGAAGATGGGAGAGGAAGGAGCACAGTTGATGGGAGAGAAAGGAGCTACAGTCGATCGTCTAATCTGATCCTGAGCAAAATTAGGGTTTGAGTTTTATATTTATGGGATAAGGGGGTAAATGAGTGTATGGGCATCTAATAATTTTTTTTCCCAATTGCCCAAATCTAACGGTCCACAATAAAAATAAAACAATCAAACGGTCCACAATAAAAATAAAATACAAGCTCACCTTGCATAATTAAGGCGCTCGCTTTTTCGCCATTCGCTTAATCTCAAGGCGCTCGCTTTTCTCACTTTTCCCTCATTTCAGTCACATTCGCTTCTCATGGGGTGTTCAAGGCGAGAAGACCTCGCTTCGCCTCGCTTCTCGCCTAGGCGAGCTTTTCAAAACACTGGTCTCTTCTCTTTATTTCGCATTCTGAGAAATTCATTTGATGATCGAGAAAATTAAGGAGATCTGCTAGCTCCCCTTGGTGGTGCCCTTCAAGTTATCATTTAGATGTTTGTATTTTTGAGACCAAACCCATCATTCTACCAGGCAGCTAATGACATTATGAGGCTATTCCTTAAAGTTTTTGCTACTGTAACTCCACATTTCATGAGTTCATATCGTGTATTTCCTTCTTGTACGAGTAGACATGAGTTTGTGAGATCTCCATTCGAGTGGTTCGCGCCATCTCCAAGTTTTCCTTTTTCTGGTTTTGCGTGAAACTCTACCTTGAAGATACATGATCCATCATTCCTCTAACCTGTTTTAGCTCCTGGGATCTATTGGAAAATGAGCTGCCATCCAAATGCCTTGGCCCAATAACAATGGTTCATTAAATTTTAGGGTTATTTACACAATACATCCTTCAGGTTTGGGTCATGTTGCAATTAGCTCCCTATAATTACATTAATTACCCAATTACCAGTACACCCACCATAAAAAAATTGATAGAAGTTGACCCAATTCAATTAAAAAGACATATTTACCATTTAATCTATCAGCCTTAGAAAAACAAAAATTGAAAAAATATCTCACCCAACCCCATCCCACCAAAACCTTCAGTAGCAGACCCCGTCCACACACTAGTAGCCCCCGCAACCCCGTCATCTACTAACACTTATCCACCCCTCCCTCGCCATCAACCCTAACCACCCAACACACTGTAACCCAGCACACCCTTTCCCTAAGAAAGCAACACCAGCCCTTCCTCCCTGCAATGGTGATAGGGCTGGATATTGGTTGAAACTCATCCACCTCCTCCCTGCAACGGTGACAGATTTAGGGTTGTTGCCGTCTGGGGACATGGGGGTGGCATTGTTGGGTTTATCTATGATGCATCAATGCCGGTTAAGGTTGAATGAATCTATCAATTTTTTTTGTTGAATTTGAATGATTTTGTTTTCAAATATTGGTCTAGGTTGAATTGATTTAGGATTTAGAATCATGTTTGGAGTGGGTTATGGGAGTATGTGTTTGGTGAAGGCTATGGTGGTGGCGTAGGTGATGACTGGCGCAGTGGTGTTGACAGTGAATGAGGATATGTGGACACTATGACAACTTCTGGTATAGATAAGAGGGAAAGAAAAAATAATAGATATTATAATTGAACGGGTATTTTGGGACTTTTGTATTTTTCATTCATTTAATCAGTTAATCTAGTTCATTGAAAACTTGAAGGGGGCAAATTGTTTGAATTGAAATTGGAGGAAGTCGATTGCAATATGACCCAAATTTGGAGGGGGTATTTTGTAATTAACCCTAAATTTTATATAGATTCTGCAGCCTTGAGATATGAACTCCAAGCGGAAAAAGTGTTGTTTGAAACATGGATTTTGCGAAGCTGCATTTAATCTGGCTTGTAAAATTTCAATATCAGATGTTTAATACATAGTTTATGAAGTATGAGTGTGCCTTGGCTGTAGGTTTTTGGCATCACAAAGAAAATTGAAAAAAAAATAGAGGACAGTTTAGTCCTTTTGTACAATCTGTTACCTTTGTTAGGATTTGCACTTTTTTGACTAGTGCAAGGGGTTTAGTGAAACCCATAAGTTCAGGGAGGTTTTGTATAATTAACCCATATAATTATTATTATTTTATCAATGACTTATCTTTGGGTGAATGAGTTCTTCATTGAACCTAACTAGGAAGAATAAATATGCTATAAATAAAATCACTCCATCCTATTCTAGATAGAACATGGTGGCATAGATTCGTTGCAACAACAATATACTACCAAGTGAAATGGGGATCCCATCAGGAAAGGTGTTCAACTGGCCCATGTGAATGCCAAGTCAATATCTGAACTGAAAGTGGCATATTTGAAGTCATAGGTAACTTGGACACCCCAAATGGGGTAAGATGGTCTGTCACTTATCTTTCCCATACCCAAGACCTGCTAGAGGCTATGTCTTTGTATACTGGGAACGGTCTTTGTATTTAACCTGGGCACTTAAAATGGTAAAAACTCATTGTAAATGCCTTATAAATAAATCAATGACCACATTGGTATCATATCGTAGCATAGTATGTCCAACCCTTTTGTATTCAATATAAGGCTGTAATTGGATGGTTACGTTAATAGTTGGGGTCATGCAGAAGTTTTTGCTTGTATTAGCATGCTCTGTGTGTGTGAATAAACTTTTAGCTTGTCCCAACTCTTTTGGTGGTGAAGCAGGGATGGAGGCATAAAGGGACTGTTTACAGGAGTCGGTCCCCGTGTTGCTCGTGCTGGCCCTTCAGTTGGAATTGTAGTTTCATTTTATGAAGCTGTCAAATACACACTGTATAGGAGACATCTGAGCCAGTGATAGATAAACTTTACATCATGGTTCAAGCCGAGAGTTTGGCAAGAGATGTGGTCCTCCCACCAAGATTCGTGTTCCCGGCAATCTGGGGCAATAACTTTGACAAAATTTTTACACCAGTCTGTAGGTTCAGAGGCATCAGAATAATGTCTTAGCAGAGTAAGTCCCTATCTCAAAGCCCGACTACCCATGATGTTGCTTACATCTTCAGCCACCCTTATAACCAACTTTGTTTTGGCAGCTTGACAATGTAGGTAATCTTTTGTAAATGTTAGAGCATTTAATCTTGTGCAAAAGCAGTTCTTGGTACACATTAGCTGTACATCTGTTGTTGAGATGTAAAAATTTAAAGTTTGTGCATATGCAATAGCAGTTCTTGTCACATTGCCGTGTATCTATCATTGATATGTAATCATTCAAAGTTGTTTTGTGTATATCTTGTAGTTTTTGGGAAAAAATATATGTCAATCATATATTCAATTATTTGAATACAATGACGTGGTTGTATAGTCCTCCGCCTTTAACTATTGATGCTCTATTACATGGTTACAAGAAGGACGTGATGTTAAGAATGAGTTAAAATTATACGTTCTTGTCTGTTTTGATAAATACTGAAAAATAGACAAATTAAGTCCATTAGGACTGGCCTGGTAGCCCACTAAAGGCCCATTATGATTGGCCCAATAGCCCACTTCAAGTCCATTAGAATTGGCCCAGTAGCCCACAAAGGCCCATTAGGATTGGCTCAGTAGCCCACTAAGGCCCATTAGGATTTGACCCAATAGCCTACTAAAAGGCCCATTGGGTTTGGCCCAATAGCCCTTCAGGCCCATTAGATTGGCCCAGGAGTCCACTAAAGGTCCATTTGGACTGGCCCAGGAGCCCACTAAAGGTCCAGTTGGACTGGCCCAGGAGCCCACTAAGGCCCATTAGAATTTAGCCCAGTAGCCTACTAAGGCCCATTAGGCCTGGCCTGGTAGCCCACTAAGGCCCATTAGGACAGGCTCAATAGCCCACTAAAGGTCCATTTGGACTGGCCCAGGAGCCCACTAAAGGCCCAATAGAACTGGCCTGGTAGCCCACAAAGGCCCATCGGAACTGGCCAACAGACATGCATGGGCCATACCATGTTGGGTGGCTTAGCCTGGCCACCTTGTTGGCCTATCAACAACCCATTATTGAGTGGCTCCTTAGTTTCTACAAAAGCTACACCCTTCTAATATGGTATTGAAGATTTCAACTACATAAAATTTGTTTAAGTCGTATTGTTCGAAATACCACTCAATAAAATAAAATTACAACACAAAAAACTGAGAACAATACCAAAAAGTCTCATTTTTGAAGTAATCTCATAAAATTGAATCCTAACTTCAATGTTATGTTTATTGATTGTACCATAGTGGGACCAACATTAGTATATAAATCATCTTCAATACACTTTCTCTTCAATTTCCTTCTTGGCATGTCATCTACTATTAATGAGTGAAAGATCCACTAGTATACCAGAGATCTCCCTTGAATGCATAGTGAATAATCTACCAAGAAAAGAATTGAAAAGATAGTACACTAGAGAAAACCTCACTCCCAACATAAAATGTTGATAACTGAAATTTGGCAAACTAAGGTGTTAAACTGGCTAAATTAGGACACAATCTTCAGTGCTAAGACTTCTTGTTCTTGCAGGCAACATAAGACCAGGTGCCATGATGTGAAATATGGACCAAAATACAAGGACACTGAGTTAAGAGAAGAAATTACAAGGACACCAGCCAATAGAACATTTTCAAACCATTATCCAGCAAAAGAATCCAAGAAGGAAACAAAAAACGAACAATTAAAAAAGAGAAAAAGAACTGATTTTAAGTTTCATAACCAAACTAATTTGTCAAATCAAATCCACACAACCCTCCCACCATAATATCAAGAAATTTGCCTACAATGAATTATTCTTATCTCAATCACTGCATTCTCTAACTGATTATGGTCCTAGCAGCAATTTAAAAGAAGTTGTAAGAAGATGCATCCATGGGGTGAATGAGGTATGTAAGAACAAGTGCCACGAGCATCAGCACATAAGCAATCCCCTGGTCAACACTAGTCCCTGCCAAAGAAAAAAACAGCAATAAAACTTCCATTAACACAATATATTTTGTCCAAAAAGCAACTGAAATACAGTATTAACATTAACATTCCCAAAATTTATTGTTAAAAAAATCTTTTGGAATTTAGACAATCTTATAACAGCAACATTGCAATTTTTGTCAAAGAAAAGTCTCTTAATTATTCTACTGAAGAATGTAATATAAAAAATCGGCAAATAAAACTTGAAGACTTAAAATGTTGATAACAACATATTCAACGAAATTATAAGACTAAATATGCTCTCAAAGATGTGCATATGCCATAAAGACAGGGGTAAGGGGCTGTTTGGCAATGTCCAATAAAATCAATTCAATCAGGTTTAGGACGGATTTTTGCAGGCCAACTAAGAAGTCAAAATTAACAAATTATAACTCCTCGTTCTTAGTCTTGCCGAACCGTCCCGCACGGAACCATGTACTCAAGACTTTCCAGACGACTCGTTCATACAAAGGTATAGTTACATCCAATGCAGAAACAAAAAGCGCTCACAAGAGCACAGATTTCCAGATCAAGTAATTACATATATCTAGGCACATGCATTTATGTGTGTGTGTTAGAAACATAAAAGAGAATATTACCATCGCTGGCAGGAGCAGGAGCAGGAGTATTCGCAGGGGCCATAGATTGGGCTCTAGCACTCGGCAAAACGATTGGGAATACAAGAGCAAAGATCAACCCAACTCCAATCAAAACCCTAGACACAGCCATTCTTTCAATCTCTCTGTCTATCCACAGATTCCTCTCCCAGACGTCAAATCTCACACACTACCTTCAAATCTTCTCCGCTAACAACCAAGCAAAATACAGAGAAAATCGAGAGAGAGAGAGAGAGAGAAAAATAGTATTTTGAATGGGAATTGTGAGCTGGACGGACATATTGCTGTTTATATAGGGGTCTACGATATAGAGAGAGAGAGAACAAGAGGGCCATTCCGGTAATCGGTTAAAAATTAAAAGTTTTACGTGGTGGTCCCACCAATATTTCCATATCCTATTTAAGCCATGTGCCTTCTATTCCTAATTCCCGCCAGGCTGTCAATGTCGTCTCCCCACATTTACTGACGAAACTGCCCCTCTAACTTTACGTTTTTTACAAAGCTTTCATAGGATTCTCAGTTTTTGTTGTGTACCGTAACGGATCCTAACGGCTAATAATAATCCATATCATAAATTTGAATGTGAATGGATAATCCAGCGGCTGATATTGAAATAAGAGTTGTTAAAAAATTGAAAATTTCTACTTCACGAAGAGAATTTGAAATTTGAATATTGGATTAGATCTCTTAAAAAAAAATATATATATTGGATTAGATGATTTTCAAAGATGATGAAATTCAAACCCTAAATCATAAATTCTAAACCCTAAATTTTAAATCAATAATTCAATTTTATCAAGTTCCTTCTTAAATTTCAAATTTCTAACAACTTCTATTTCAATATCTGCTGCTCAATAATATTTGAATATTAAATTAGATGATTTTTAAAACAAGATGATCAACCTTGAACCCTCTTATTATATCATTAAATATTGAAATATTTGAATATAAATTTTTTTCAATAGTAGATTATCTGTCGTGTAAACTTACTTGAATATAATGAATTTTGCTAATATTTGTGCGAAGAATGTAATTTATCATAGAAATTTTACGTTGAAGGGGATCCAAAACAACACAAATGGAACAAAATTAATGGCTGAAAATTGAAATCAAAACACCACAAGAATAATAAATTAGCTGTTAAAAGTGTTCTTTTAATGGATCATGAAGCTAGATTTTGATAGCCAACATGTCATTTTTGTCTGTAAAACATAATAAAGATTAAAGTTGTCAATACAGTAAGAATTTATAAGATTCCCAACAATATATTCTTATTAAACATAAATCACCTATTAATAATTCAAATGGACCCACTCGTAAATTTTCTTGTGAATAATTTGCTACTAACTAATTGAAGAAATATATCAAAAAAATCTTAATTCCAATTAGGAAAGCGCAGGCTAGCCGTTATTAGAATATACAATTAACAGCTAAGTCCTGTTCACCAACATTCCACTACAAAGCATTAATTAGTCAGCACCAGCACAGGATTTGATAGGTTTGTGTCGTTTGTATCAGCATCTAGTACAGCTTGTAACTCCTGTCTCCTTTATTCTTTTTTTTAGTAACCGTTGCAAAGCAGCAGGTCCACTGATTTTTTATTATAGATTTTTCAGTTCAATTGTATGAATTCAAGGTAAATAGAATTGAATGTAGGACTCATAATCAAGCCAAATTACCAGACTAACTTTTGATTTGTCTAATTTTGAACTTAAACAAGTTTTTAAACTCATTTTAAAAAATAAACTCAAGAGATTCGATTTGAGTTCGCAAAATTCAACTCAATTATCAACCCTAATTAAGTGTTAGACTACTAAGACTTATTTGAATTTCAACATGGTTTTAACAATATCTATATATATATATCTATCTATATATATAATACACAAAATTGCAACTTTTTAATTACTCAAGAACCTACTTGCTCATTTATCGGTTATGAACTTCCCAAAATAAGGGGAGAGAGGAATCCTTCCAATAACATCAGGCACATCTGTCAATAGAAACAACAAATAAAAACTAAAAGGAACACACACAAGAGCATTAAAAACATAATCATG